TCAGCACTATCAGAGTATTTGGAAAATCTATGGTAGAAGAGTATGAAGAAATGGAGATAGCAGGTGAACATAGTCTTCCAGCATCACCCGATGACGATGATGATCGTCTAGGTAAGCAACATGATATATTACGCTAACATTAAGGAATTAAAGATGAAATTTACAGTGTGTATGTAAATGTGACATATAATATTTACTTGTTTGAATAAAAGGTTTACAATATACATCCCATGTGTAATATGTACATAACATTATGTTAGGCCTATTACATTTTTAAACACTACATTTTTAATCTATTCCTTTAGGGATTTTTAAAAATTAGATGTATGTATAATAATAGTATTTCATCCAATTTCAACCATACTTTATTTATCATATTCATTGCTGATAATTCATTAAATTTTCTTTAAAATCCTTAAGGGACTAGGTTAAGAATATAGTGTTAGAAATGTATTAGGCCTAACATAATGCCTTATAATAAGTATGATATATATATATATAACTAAGAAGTGGCTGAGAAACATGTAACCCATCAACTTTGTCTGTTGGAACACAAAGTCTCCTCTGCAAATTTCAGAAACTGTGCATGGGAAAAATTTCCAAAACTGGAGAAAGCATTCCTTACATATCCTATTTATAAATAATCAAATCACTTTCATTGTACTGAAGGGGTTGAATTTAGAACTTTGCTTGTAATAACAAATGTATTCTTTAAAAAATAAACAAAATATACAAATCAGATATGCAAGTGTTTTGTTATGTCTTTAAGAAAGGTCAAAGATATGATTACATAATTCTTTAACTGAAATGTTTGTTATTACGAGTATAGTTTCATATTTAACCCTTTCAGTTCAGCTTTGTTTCATGAAGGGTTTAGTTTTTAATTGTAACATGCTACTTTGTCTAGAGCTATGAGATTAATTGATATAACTCTACTAATCGTCTGGTTCTACTGTTGTCTGGAAAGTTCAAGAATCTTGTGTTTTTATTTTTGTAAAGTGTATTGTTTCAAATCTTAGAATAGTATTTTTTATAGTAGTAATTAAAAGTTAGTACAATTATTTCAACAGATATTCCAGGTTCAGAAGAATCTCCAGCCAGTATTAATCTTTTTGGTAGTGCACGGGATGCAGTAATTAACATTGTTAGGAAAGCTGCTCTTGCTTTGTCTGGAAAAGGTATGCTATTCATTCTTACGTGACAGTATATATAACTGTTAGGAAAACTGTTATCAGAGAGGTAAGTAATCGTCTCATACAGGTTCGATAAGCATTCGTAGAAAGCCTCGCATTGTGTGGAGATGAAGTACACAGTTGGTCCTTATATGTTTGATACTTATATAATAAGATTCAGTACATGTGTGTGTGTGTTTGTCACATAACTCCTCCTAAACCACTGGTTTGCACCAATTTCCTATTGGTGCCAAACAAATCATCTCGGCCCTGAGATATGCACAAAGGTACAACTTTTCACCCAACCCCTTAGGGAACCAGAGTATTTCGTGAAAACACTTTTACCGGAACTCCCAGGAAGTGGACCCCAAATTTGGAATTGATTTACATTAGAACACGTTTGTAACTTGGTTAAATAAAGTAAATTTGCATTATATTGGCAGTGATCGCTTAACTGAAGAAGTGTGAAATAGCTGTTAAAGCATTAAATTTGCATTATAGTGTGGGCCATAGGATCATTAGTTTGCTAGTGCATTAATAGGACTGCACATCTTATTTCTAAACAAATAAAGAGCAGGGAGGGACATTGGTGGCTTAATCTTTCAACAAAGCATTGTTAGAAAAGTAACTTGCTTCTTATGTAGTAGAAAAAGCATTTTATCAGTTGATCGTAGAAATACTTTTTATTTAAGAAACAAAACTGAATTAAGTTTATCATAGAAATATTGTGTAAGAAACAAAACTGAAATAAGTTTATCGTAGAAATGCTGTGTAAGAAACAAACTGAACTAAGTTTATTGTAGAAATACTGTGTAAGAAACAAAACTGAAATAAGTTTATAAACTAAGTTTTCTTGATGAATGTGAAATGACCTTCACTACTATTGAAGCAGTTCTGTATTAGAAAACATCGGGTCAGCTAATTCCTGTAGTGAACTGATAGTTTTGAAACTATTTGTCAGAAAAATCAGGATAGTGATTTCAAACAGAAAGAAATAAACTAAGGAGTTATTTTAAGGAAAATAATTATTGGTTTCTTCTTTAATCAGAACTGGAGGCTTTATCCATTATAATTATAATATGGTTTTTCTATCAGAACTGGTGGCTTTATCCATTGTAATTATAGGGTGGTTTTTCTATCAGAACTGGTGACTTTATCCATTGTAATTATTAGGTGGTTTTTCTATCAGAACTGGTGTCTTTATCCATTGTAATTATAGGGTGGTTTTCCTATCAGAACTGGTGGCTTTATCCATTATAATTATAAGATGGTTATTCTATCAGAACTGGTGACTTTATCCATTGTAATTATAGGGTGGTTTTTCTATCTAACCTGGTGACTTTATCCATTATAATTATAAGATGGTTTCTATCAGAACTGGTGACTTTATCCATTATAATTATAAGATGGTTTTTCTATCAGAACTGGTGGCTTTATCCATTGTAATTATAGGGTGGTTATTCTATCAGAACTGGTGACTTTATCCATTGTAATTATAAGATGGTTTTTCTATCAGAACTGGTGACTTTATCCATTGTAATTATAAGATGGCTAT